TTAGACGTATGTCTCGCGCAGATATGCAGCTGAGAGACACGTGTAACAACGAGTAAAGATGATCGTTTGAATCGTTGGTTAACCTAATGGTCCGCCAAGTATTCAAAGGATATAGTGATGGATGCGAGCGGTATGCAAAGAGTCGGAGTCTCCTATAGTTCAAACCTAATGTCACAACCCAATAATGAATTAACGCTGGGTCGAAGACTAGGACTCAAACAAGGTTATCGGACAAAGAGGATAATGAGCAGGTACGTCTTGGATTGCTACAATGTAGATACAAGAGGTTTGAACTAAGGAACTATCTACCAAGACATGCTAACTATATACAACTATTGAGACGGAGATTGAAACTGAGTTACAACTACTAGCCAATCATAAAAAGAGAAAGGGAATCGTACCATAGAACATCGTGGAATATTACAGAAGCATCACGTGACTGTATCTTTATCTTATCTTATCTTATCTTATCTTATCTTATCGTATCGTATCTAATCTAATCACAATCAAAGAACTCGTCTTCTTCATCAGTCACATCGAAGACACGTGTTGTGGGCGCTAGTGGAATCTCTGAACTGGTAGACGCTTTCGGGGTAGGGTTAGGGTTTGTCTTAGACGCTGTGTATTGGCGCTTAGGAAGATTCAAGAAAGAATAGTGGTTTGTTAAAGGTACTCGTGACACCACCCACTTTCTGTGTGTCTCTAGATACTAAGAATTTTACTCGTTGTTTGCAAGTGACTATTTAAAGTCGTGCACTTCAGTTCACAGTCTCCATCTTAGCATCAGCCAACCTTAGCTGGGGTGTTAACACTTGTGTCGCCTCGTCTTTCCCTTGCTTCTCTCGCTCGCTTGTCTCCGCCTTCACTCATGCGTGCTACCTTTGCATCGCGCACCTTGACCTTCACCTTTTGCACTCGCACGTCATCGCGCATGTTCACCTTCCATACATCGCATCGTATCCGCTTCGCGCGTTACTTAGCCCTAGTACTTCATTAGTTGTTTGGTGTCCCTCTTTTTTACAAAGAGAGGTTTCCTTTACTCAGTTAGCTTAGCACCAACTTTCCCCACAGTTTAGATTCCTCATCCTCAGTGCTAACACCTATAGATACACTCGTGCCGCCGTGCGAAGAAGAAGAAGAATCAGACTTGACTGTCAAGCCTGAAACAGTTCAAGTCCTCAACCTGCCTGTCTCAATACTTAACAGATGTGTAATAGGCACTCTCTCAAGTGTTTACATGCTGCAACCCACATACATCGCACCTGCATCAGTACCCGCACCCACACTCACCCCAATCGCCCCCGTCACCCTGCAAGTCGCAATGACTACGCCTTATCGCATGCCTATTTGTGGCACTGACCGTGCACCAAAATTTGACGGCACCACTGCTAACCTTTTAGATTTTATAGATGCATACTGAAGAACACACCAATCAGGCCGGTCTCACCAGTCTTGATCGCATCAAGCAGATCATCCACTATCTCGTGCCCGCCGACAAAGAACTTTGGGCATGTCTGCCCGAAGCAAAGGTCAGCAACTACGACACATTTATATGCGAAGTAAAGGTAATGTACCCCAGCTGTGAAGGCTGATCGTCGCTACATGGTCAACAACCTGAGCACAGTTGTGCGAAAGTACGCCGTGATGCCAATGCCATCTGTCAACGAGTTGAGCTTGTACTATCGTGATTTCCGCAGGATAATGCAGCCGCTCTTAGACAAGGACAGGGTAGGCTCGGCGGAACATGATCACATATTCTTAGAAGGATTGCCTAGCAATGTGCAGATGCAAACACACACTCGCCTACTAATTAAGTTTCCGGACCATCATCATGAGGACCCTTACCCATGGAAGAATGTCTGTGACACAGCGATATTCTTGTTGCCAGCTACGGCACCTGCTTTGTCCGCACCCATCACCAACGCGCAAGTCGCAGCACCTTTGGCAAGTTTACTCCCCGTGGTTGCATCGACGCCAGCGCAACAGCCCACACAAGGTTTGGTGACCAAGTGCAAATACCAGTGTCTGCGCACTACCCAAGTGTCGGATGGTTGCATGTTCTGCGGCAACCTTGATCATTTCATCACGCATTGTCCGGAATGCGAAAAAATACCTCGACACAGGAAAGTGTAAGTTGGATGAGAACTATAAGCTCATCATGCCTAACGGCAATCGCGTCGTCGGATGTGAACGGTTATTGAAGGATCACATAGATCATATGATCAAAAGCAAGAAGAGCGTGGATGCTAGCAGTGCTCACGTAGGTCTATGGTACCAGCATGCCAGCTGAAGTAGAATGTGTCTTGGATGTTGATCCATCCACGTTCATACATACAAGCATTGAGTCTGAGTCCGATAAGGATGAGGACAAGCGCGAACTCGAGCACGCAACCCAAGCCCTAGTATATGCGAAGGCAAAGGTAGAGAAGAAATGTGAAATGAGAACTAACACAAAGGAAAAGAATGTCCGCTTCGACAGTGTTTCTGTCCCTAGCAAGACGTGATCGCAACCAGGTCTGGCATCACGCCAACCCACAGTTGAGGAGGAAATCATCTCCCTGGCTATTCAAGCAACGTCCAGTAAAGGCAAAGAGGTGGCCAAAATACCCATAGTAGTATTGCCCGGCACCATATGTCCAGATCCCGGTGAGTCAAAAACAATTGTTATTCTTCACCATCTGATTTTGTACAGCCTGCCGCAAAGGGCAGTGGCAAGGCTACTGGTCCAGCCAGCGGACTTCAAGAGGACATCAACACCAACTCCACCTCGCCAGTCTGGTCGCCTGGTTGTGGCAGCTGTGTTCAGCGGGCGCTGATCTGCCGCCAAGGCTACAACACTTACCATGACCCGCTGCCACCGCACCAAGAACAAGTGTGGCGGCAAGGGATCCATCGCTCCAACAAAGAGCAGGAGACCTGCTGCGAGGTCTAAGTCATGCTGCAGGGCATCCACGGTGAATGTTACCATTGTCACTGATGGTAAGTTCTTTTTTCATCTTTTGTGAATCAACTGACTTGTATAGATGAAGCTGGTACCTCAGGCAATGTTGCCGCCACCACCACCGAGCCCACCACCGCCGCCGCCCCTTCCACCACCACCGCTCCTACTGCCGCACATGTTCCTGCGCAAGACAGCCAGACTGTGCTGGCGCTCAAAGAGGAACTGGTGGTGTTGCAAACAATGGTGGTCTCTTTGGTGGAAAGGGTGAGTACTGGCAAGAAGCTGCTTGAGGTGGCCAACCATCGCCTGGCTGAGCAGGAGGTCAATGCCAAGCTGCTTGCTGACCAGGTGGCTGCACTCCAGCAGGAGGTGAATCCCGCTGCTGAGTCCCCAGCAGCAGAGCCTCTGCCTGTTGTCATCAGGACAGATGCTGCAGAGGCACCGGCTGCTGCCACTGCCCAGCCGGAAGATCAGTCGCCAACTGTTGCCATTGCCATGGATGAGGCGCTGGCAAATGTAGATTTCCACAGTGAGGCACCGCCACAAGACGCTGGTGCTGGACATGAATGATTGTTGGTAGCATGGACTAAATTTTTCTGTTTTGGTATGGACTAATTACTGTATTTGTAGGATATGTAGTTGTAAAAATAAATAGTCACCTTGTAGTTCGCCAATATCATGTTGTTTATTCAAGTTCATTGTAAGACATTTACTCAATACACCATTTGCCCTGCTGGTTGTTGCAGTAGCATTTCAGCATTAGTGCCGAGGTTGTATAGCATTCTGTAGCGATGTTCAGATGACCGCCACTTCGGCGGGCAATGCACGTGATTGTCATCCTGTGCCGGTATGCACCACCATGTATGGTAAGCACTATTGCGGTGTTCATATTGTACGGCATGGTTAATTGCCATCCTGCTTTGGCATTCAGAAAACAATGCATGCGGGGGAACAAGATGTCCGGTGTGATGGTGGCAAAATTGAGTAGAATGTACACTACAAATCTGTCTGGCGTGACTGGCAGTACATTTGCTGAAGGGTATGCTATTGGCATTACATTTGCTGAAGGCTATGTTGTATTAATGTGAGCATAGGCGGTAAATTCTCCCTATAAATGCCAGAGGAATACCATTAGGCAAGGATATTCGGCAGGATACAATGCCCAATGTCAATGTACCACAACCGGTGGATTCCTGATATCATTTGCCAAACCTATTTGTTCGGGATACAGCCGCTGATGCTGATAAATGTCACCGGTACTCATTGCTAATATTCACCCGTCCAGCCCACGTCCTTGTAGATACTTGCTGGGGAGAAAATGTCCTGTCCCCAACCCATTTTCCGGTATTAATTTCCTAGCATCCACTCACCGATCCAACCATGGGCCCACCCAGGATTGGTGACATGACTTTGGTGGGCCCACCCTTCAATACAGTCAACTATTAATTCTTACACCCATAGGCCCACTCCTAAAGATAGAGGCTAATCTAATATGGGCCCAGCCCTAACAGGTGGGTACAACACATCTATGGGCCCACCAATGGACTTGGGTGACATTCTAAAGTGGGCCCACAGTGGGTTGGCCCTATACGTAGGGGGCATTGTCAACCTGGGCTGTCCCATAGTATAGGGTGAATCCACTGAAGGGGCTCGTATGGTACAAATCTATGATGTTGGCCTAGTACCCCCACCAAGAGAAAATTGGTGAATTGCGCAAATGCCCCTTATTACAGACCCCTCCCCCTCCCTATGTCGGCCAGTGCCCCCGCCAAGAAAAATTGATGATGATTGGAATGCTGTACAGTACGAATCTATAATGATGGTCCAATACCCCCACCAAGAATGATCGGAATGCTGTATGGTACGAATCTATGATATTGGTCCAGTACCCCCACCAAGAAAAAATAGATGAATTGCGTGTTGGTCCAGTACCTCCACCAAGAAAAAATTGATGAATTGCGCAAATGTCCCTTATTACAGACCCCTCCCCCCTTCCTATGTTGGTCAGTACCCTTGCCAAGGAAAATCAATGATGATTGGAATGATGTACAGTACAAATCTATGATGATGGTCCAGTACCCCCACCAAGAATGATCGGAATGCTGTACAGTACGAATCCATGATGTCGGTCCAGTCCCCCTGCCAAGAAAAAATAGATGATGACCGGAATACTGTATGGTATGAATCCATGATGTCGTACACTGGACCTTTTTCCTCCAGATGACGCAGATGTTGACAAGTTCATCTGCACAAGACCTAAGGTGGAAAGACATTACTGGATCTGCGACTGTGAAGTAATTAGATACAGTTCATAATATTTGCACACTGACACACCTGCTTTATTCAAGGCAGTTTGGGTACTGTCCCACTCCGCTAACATCCATTCTTGAAGGACGGCCCTCTCCTGCATCAGTTGAACCTCCTCCTCATTGCACCGGTCAACTTCAAGTTGCAACCAGATATCATTCCTGACCTTGTCATCCAGCCCAACATCTTGCCAGATGTCGTCATCAATGTCGAGCTGAAAGATGCCATCACGCGGGATGATATGAGGGGGAACAGCAGAAGGAGGTGCTCGCCGCTGTTGAATAAGAGACCGTATTTGTGAACACAGACCATTGTAGGTAGTGATTAATTTGAGGATGCCAGGCTCTCAGGCGTTTGATTGAGTGTTGTGTATTTGCATGAAGTTTATGCTCAGCTGGAAAATTATGAGATGTATCAGTGTAATAAAACTATCAACACACCATTGACTGTGGCTCTGTACAATCTCTCAAGTCTCTCCAATTCAAACTTTTGCTGATGAAGGCGATCACGTATGTGAGTTTTGATTGTGCAAGCATTCAAGCGAACTGTAAGGTATATATCCTTCTTCATCTTCTCCAAGTTGACTTTGTCTTCCATTCCAAGTGCCGCTCAACGACGTTGGAGAATGTCAGTGGTTTTTTTATACCGAGACCGAGCATCTACCGGCTGCAGATTGACTTCCCCAATGTTAGGGACACAGACAGCATGGAGTTGCATCTCAAGTTCACGTATGGAGGCCTCCTGAGTTTGTAGTGTCTTCTCTAGTGCTAGGATAATGGTGATCACCTCCGCTGCCTTATTTCTAGATTGTCCTACATGACGTTCAGTTAAGCAGTAGGCACACTTAGATATTTACATACGTGGTGTGGGTCGCATCTGGTGATCAACCTGGGCCTTCCCCTCTACATGGAGCATATTCTCATCCAACTCCAACTCATGTAAATGGTCCAGCACATCATTCTTCTTTGATTGACAGTGGATCCAATGCCAATGGAGCCAGTGTCCAAATCCTTGCAACAATTTCGAGTCCAAGTGGCAAATTTGAGTATCGAGGACGAATAGTTGCTGATTAGACTTCGCCAAAGAGTGAGATTGATAGACTGATTAGAAAAGAGCATAGGTACCCCTGAAACATGCAGGGAAGGGATGAGAGGCTTGAGGAAACTCCATAATTGTTCGCATCCGTCACCATCAGACAAGCCAAATCCCTCTTGCTTCCTAGGGTGGTAGACGATCTGACACGGCCACTGGTGACCATACGCATGGAACACAGCAACAGCAAATGTGATGCAAGATAGAGTAGAATCCTCCAAGAAATTCCACTTACAACAGCTCCGTTCAAGCTGGCATCCGATGTCATACAAAAGCCCAATGGTCATCTGAGTAGGTATGTGTTTGAACAACTGGTCCAAGAGAGCAAGCACATAATGTTGCTTTTCTCCCGCAGACGTCAGGTTCGCAATCCATAGGACACAGTCATGTCTACAAACCAGTGCCATGAGGCCAGTATCGGTAAAGAAATGAGTACTTGCCTTCTCCCGCTTTTCGTCTGCAGCAATGAAGGAGTCGCCACATCCGTTCAAGACAGATACTGGTATGCGCATGCCCTCCTCATAGCTATCTTCATCAGGTTCCGCCCTCGAGGTCCTTGTTTGCTGTCTGTCTCCGTGACACCTTTCAACAAAATCTTCCATTGCTTTTACATTGTCCATCGGTAGAAAGAAGGATGGTGTCGGGTTAGGAGGATCACTGCCAGTAGCACCACGAGGATTTGCAGAGCGTTTCTGTGAGCACGTGTCAATGCAAACGATAACATCTGGCCTACAAATGATTAATCGATGTGGTAGCATAGTAAGAAATAACGTACATAGGAAGGGAATCTCTTGTTCCATTTCGCCAATTGTTTCCTCCAAAACAGAGTGGGCACCGTGAGCAGAGATAATCACTAGGTTGGTCCACGGGAGCGCCATCTTTCCAGGAACGAACAATGAGCATAGAGATGTGGTCCTGAGCCAATACAGTCAAGACCTGGTACCAGTGGAATGCATTGCTGAAGCGACACTGTAAGCTATTCTGTAGGAAGGTTAAGCATGGATATGCAACGATGAGATCAGAATTTTTTTACCTTCAGCCTCAACTTATATTTCATTCCATCCAGAAAGGTCTCCAGCGCATCACACCACGCTGTTTGGTTGGGGGACCGATGAAGAAAACGAAGGTGGACGAACTCGAGAAGTTGTAAGTCGACTGCCAGGGAGGGTGCCACAGGCGTACATGGAAAAAATCTGCAATGAAGAAGCTGAAGTGGGGCAGGCAAACAAGGGCAGGCAATGATGGTGATTTCCTCGAAAGCTGTAGTGTACATCAGATTAAAGTTAGAAGAGAAAAATATTATAACATACCGTCAAAAAACACGCATGCAACTTTGATGCTATGAGTTCTGCCCCCAGTTCCATACTCTCCATCAGTCCAATGACGTATTGCTGGCATGTTGGTGTGATGTAGCGATACAGTCTCTTGAATGTATGATAGATAGGGCACTATCATGCACGGAATTACATCTTCAGACCATCTGCGCCATTGATTAGCCCTTTTCTGGGAGCTGGTGAGACGACGGGACCAGTGTCATTAGAAAAATGTATTGAGTCACTGAAGGGAAACACAGGTCCATCATCCATCTGTCTGGGTTCCGTGCTACATATGGATGACAAATGATGTAGCCTTTGCTGTGCTAGACGTTGTTGTCCTGGCAGAACTAAGATGGGTGGTGTGCCAGGAAGATAGAGGTCGAGTTTCGTTGTCTCACGGGGACGTTTCCATCTATTGAGCATCCGAGGTTCACAAATGCTAGTAGTCAGCTGATGTATTGACGGAGGTGATAAATGGTGGGCTGTTGCCTTACAACGTCGAGGGTTTGGATGGTGGACTGCCATTGCGTAATACCTCAAGACTTGAAGTCAACAAGGCAGGAAACTGTGACATGAAGTCAACCAGGGAAACTCAGCCCACAGACACGCAGTCTGGGGAAGTTTGATTACAGTGACTAGTGGTGGTGGAGGTTGATGGACGAAGTAAGATCGCTAGTGAAAAATCAAAACAATCACATTGGGCTGAGGAATCATGTAACTTATGTGCGGTAGTGCAAATCATTTGTTATTTGAATCCTCCTGTGGTTATACCAAGTTGTTCCAGAAGAAAGCATGAGCCTTGTTGTCATAGCATAGAACACAAAGTGAACTCACCGCCCCACCATCATGATGAGTCTCTGGTTCAATGTCTGAAACATGCACACAGTGAATATGTATCTTGATCTCACGTGAAGCCATAAGTCCAAAAACAAGAAAATAAATCATACAGAACATAATGCCAGAGTAAGATCGTAGTCCGCTGATGGTAATGATACACAGCCGCATAATGGAATGCACTACTAGAAGGAACACAACAGCATCAATTTCATTGTAAGGTAATGAGAACGAACAACAGAAAATACGCCAGGACAACTATGGAATTATGATTGCATGGGAAGCGAATGGGGTATGATGGAAGGCCTGCCGAAATGATCAAAAAATGTCTGGATGTAAAATGCCGTGGCCACACCCTTGACTTCCCAAGACTTTGTATCTGTGAAGTTGTCTGATGTCAGCAGGGTCATAAGAAGAGGTGGCACGCCATCCCAATCGCAAAGCAGTCAGCGAAAATTCTCCACGTAAGGAAGCTGCTTCTTGGTGGCCATAAGACCCTTTCTGTCAGGAGCTTTCTCCTGATGAGACTGTGGCTGGGCAGAAGGCACACTACCAAGGAAGTCATGCCAGAGTTGAGGAGTGGGATAAGTGCATGGAGGATTGTGGTCGACTCGGCCTACCCACAGCGCACGAGATGCAAGCCAATTGGCAAGATGTGTCTGCAAACGTTTAGGCAGTTTGGGGGCGATAAGAAGAGCAGGCTCAGGGAATCTATACCTGTGATCAATAATGTAGGGCGTGTGAATGCGTGACTGGTCCTTAATTTCAATTTTCATCACTGCTTCCCAATGCAGGTTCAGTGGCGGAAGGTAAGGAGTTTCAGGGTCTCGCCACTTGTCCCTGGATTTGCCTGACTGAGCAGGATGTGCAGGGCGAGCTTCAATGGAGTCTAAAATGGTGAGTATCCAACATGCACAAAAGAAAGAGGTGCTTACATGGCTGGTGCTTTGGCTTACTCTTCTGTTGAGATGGCACCTTGCCATGACTAGATCCTTTAGGATCGGAATTCGAGCTGGACAATGGTTGAGGGTCAGCTGCCTTGGGGTCTAGGTGTGTTGTACCTGCATATAGGTGGCGAACGTGCACATGATGACTATGACCACCAGGACCGCGGTATATCACTTTGAATGGGCGAACTTTACTGCCCTCCGCATACATGCCAATGATGATGTGATCCGGATGGGTAAGTAAAACTGGTTGGACAACCTTCATGTTCGGGGGAATGTACGCGCTTGTGCGAACATACCAAACAGGGACACCAGCGCAGAATAACTTCTCGCAGAGGTCGCTACTCTGCACAAAAGCGCCCATCCAATCGCCCCGGACAGCATGACGAAGGCCTGAAGTCGTGAGAGGTTGATCTATAAGTACCCAGTTGATGTAAGAGTAAATATTGAGAAAGAGACGCTGAGCATCCGTGACGAAAATGAGAAGATCACAAAATGTGAGGGGATGTGACTTCAAGCATGCGACAACGTGTTGGAGGGACAAAAGGCGGCCATATATGACTTGGCCTCTGTCTGGCTGAGTCTGTCTATACTCATGGAGTCGTTGTTCCGCCAGCTTGATGAGGGATTGCAAGCCTTCGACCTTATCCAATGCCAGTGTGCCCACAGGAAACAAATTCCCAGGAATGGACTTAAGATCATTCTGGGTAGGGGTGAACCAGGCCCAATGAAGTGGGTGAGGAGACGGAAAAGCCTCCTTTCAAGGTATGCAAGCGGCATGGCAAAATGATTTGTCGTAAGCCTGAGGCCATTGGAAACAATTGATAATGCCAAAGCGACCATCTGCGTGGGCTTGTAGGATTTCTTCGTCGAAGTGATGGAATTCCGGAACAAAGTGCATGTTGGGAGTCGTGATGACAAGATTGACCTGCATGGCAATGGTGCGAGCGTCGAAAGATTGTAACCAAGCTGTTCGAAACTTTGGCGTCAGCACATGAAAAACAGATGGAGAAACACATACTGTCTGAGAGGGCGGTATCCGCTTTGAATAGTGTCAGGGCGTTGGGCATGATGTGTACTACAAGTCTTTACTGTGCAACGCAACGAACAAGCGAAAAAGTAGACATACCTTGTGTCAGTTGCAGAGTATAATCGTGGGAGTTTGAGTCACTGAACAGGAAGAGAGCAATGACGCCAGGATAAGGATGTGAGAGGAAATCAGTAAAAAGTAAATGAAAGACAAGTGAATACCTCACCGGCTGTGAGATGCTCAATGAAAATGTCAAAGAAACTTGAAGGACAAGCAGTGCAGATAAGATCCAGTTGCAAAGCACTCCCGCAGAGGATCTTCAACCCTACTGGTGCAACAGCAGGTGAGCAGCCAGGGCGATCCTCCAGACACGTAGTCTAGGAGTATTAGACCAGCGACGCGCAGTCAACTGATCAATTAAAATGAACGGCACAAAGCCAGTTTGGATGGATACAGGCCGGAGTCAAGGGATATCCTGGGGGGACAATAGAAACACGGGGATGAGTGAAAAGAGAGGATCAGCGACAGTAGTTAGTAGTAAAAGAGAAATATCATCAAGTGGGAAAATCCCAAATGAAGTTCTGACTAAATGTGAGTTACAAGTTCAATTGTGGGAAAGTCCCATACCTTTGCACTTACTCAATCTCCCTTGTCCCTTGTCTCCATTGTCCATTGTCTCCATTGTCCATCATCCATCATCGTCTCCATTGTCCTCCATCCATCATCCTACCACCCTTATCCTTCACCCTGACAAATGTTCCACCTGGATTTCCTGGTTCCATCCTATTTGAATTGGCTTCGTGCCATTCACATCCTGATCCATTGACTTCATGTCTTTGATCAATCACTCCTAGACTGCGTGTCTGGAGGATCACCCTGGCTGCTCACCCGCTGCTGCACCAGTAGGGTTGAAGATCCTCTGCAGGAGTGCCCTATATGTTCTATCTGCTTGGTCTTGCTTGGACCTCTCAGTTGAGTGCGCACTTATTTCTCTTCCTCTACTCCCTCTTCTGATTTTCCTTAATGTCTTTTTGGGTCTCGTTTGCCTCATGCCTCACTTGCTGGTGCGACATCTGTCTCCTTCAGTTGAGTGCACAATTTATTTATTTTATCTACTACTGATTTTCCTTTGTGTCGTTTTGGGGACTCACGCAGCCTTCGATGTTCGTTTACATTGGTCAGTTTGGTTCTCTTCCCCTCAATGTGTTCACTCCATCCCTGATGCAACATTCCCTTTCAATTTCATTGGTCAGTTTGGTGTTCTATCCCTGATACTTCTTCATGTGGCTTACTATCTTCCCATTCATTTGATCCATGACCAGCACCATTCGTTTTTGGTTTCATCGGTCAGTGTGTTTTTCTATCCCTGGTACTCCCTCATGTAGCTTACTATCTATCAGGAACCTTTGAATTGGAGTTTCATTGTATCAGAATAGTCAGTCTATCGCTTGTTCTACTGTAAGGATTCGTACTTAATGCAGATTTATTAGCTTGTAGCGTGATTGTATCAAAAAAGTTAATCTACTGCATGTTCTAGAGTAGGGTCTAATGTTAATTGTTATCACAGATCTTCTTACCAACCTCTTGGCTCCATTTCATTGCCATCACATATCCTGCGCGAGCTGTGGCGCCCACTTTGTTTGGCTGTCAGGCAAGCTATATTGTAACTCTATTTCTTGATGTCCGTTCATCTTGAACATTTGAAAAACCAGGTACTTTATACTGCAACCAGTGTCAAGCAAATAGAATTCTTCCTTGGCGATCCAAAGCCCACTAACCGCCTTAGGGTCTTGTGATTGTATATATAATGCTATGTGATCTGTAGGTACCCTCTCAATTTCTAGTTTTTTTTTCCTTGCTCTTACAATCTGAATTTCTCTTTCGCATATTCTTACCTGACTTCGCGTCAGTGCAATAAAACTGCACATATTACAGTGACATATTTCTGTATTATACGGGTCACCCGACCTACATAATATCCCATATAAGACAGGCCAGCGGACTATGGGCCGATGTTATGTATATCCCTGATGTTGATGGATGGGCTGGGAGGAATATTATTTCTGATGGAGACGGGTGGGCCCATCTATGCTGATATTATATATATCCTTGAAGATGTCGGGTGGGCTGATGTAATGGTTTATTGTATAGATGAGTGGGCTGACGTACAGGAAGTATTTTGTACATGGGTGGGCCGAGGGAGTGGTGGAATATGTATTATATAGACGGGTGGGCTGATGTAAGGGTTTATTGTATAGCCAGGTGGGCCGACATACTGGAATTATTTTGTAGATGGATGGGCCGAGGGAGTGGTGGAATATTCATTATATAGATGGGTGGGCCGATGGAGGGGGATGTTATATAGACGGGTGGGCCGAGGTAGTGAGATATCTGTCTGACATTCATGGATTACCGAGTCCCAGATGCCCAAAAACCAAATCCCATTGTGCAACATCCATTCTGGACACCCAAACACCCCAAGCTCAAGACTGGAAACTGGAAACTGGTGAAAATGTGTGAAATTTCTATTTCCTTACACCAAACACATGAACACCTGAATACCCAAAGCCTGAAGCTTAAAAGTCCAGTTATCAAATCACCGAGTGCCAAGTCCTGATAGACCCGAAGCCTGAGACCCAAAATCCGAAGCCCGGAACCCAAAAACATGTATGCAAAATGTCCATTTTTCATTCATTGCACAAATCACCAAGTGTCAAGTGACAAAACTTGAAACTCGAGACCCAGTACACAAATCACCAAGGACCGAGTGCTGAGGGCCGAACCTCAAAGTCTGAAACTTGAAAACATGTATATAACATATCCATTTTTCAGTCATTGCACAAATCACCGAGTGTCGAGGGCCAAAACCCAAAACTTGAAACCCGGTATGCAACATGCCCATTTTTCATTTACATTAAACAAATCATCGAATGCCGAGTGCCGAGGCCCAAACCCCAAACCCTGAAACCCGAAAATATGTATACAACATATCCATATTTCCCTCACTGCACAAATCACCAGGTGTCGAGTACCAAGGCTGCGAAAGTGTTGTCCGAAGTAGCGCAATGCCTTCCGAGGCTTGGGAAGGCTGTCCAAAGGTCTATATATGTCGGTGTGTTGAATAACAGTATAAGACTTTGCGCAACGTCCGAAGTCCGGAACAACACTAATCTATTTGGGCTCAAGAATAAACAAAGTGCAAACTTGGCAGTGGTTTAGCCAGGCAATCGTTCCGAATGAACAAGGATCAATTGCGCAGTTTACGATTCTACCAAGGTGACTCTACTAATTACTACTCGAAGTACAGCAAGTGAAGTGCCCTATCAGTAGCCAGCGAGTGAGATTATATCCTACTTCCATGAGAGGCTGGAATCCGTAGGCAAAACTAGTAGCGAGATAAGCAAGTCCGAACCTATGTAATAAGCCGCGAGGCGTGCAAGAATACAAGTATACATGTAATAAGCTGCAATACGTGCTGCTTATACGTATTCCGAGGCTCCCGACAGGATGCCAATGGAATTGTTATCTGTGTAGCACTAAGACGTAGTCAACATATAGTTAGAATAAAGGAAAACGCACCAGCGAAGTCAAAAGGACGAGGATAGGACATGGTATGGTAACTTGTGAGGTTCGGACGGGTCTCGGAACACGAGAACTGCCTGTGGAAGGTTCAGACAAGTGCACGCGGCCTTCAGAAGGTCAAGGGAGGTCGGGGAATGGTATGAACGTAGGTATTGGATTGCCTGGTTTCAAGCCCAGCGCCGCGGCCATCGTTACATCGGTGAATCAATAAGTCAATGATGAATTCCAGGGTTGTAGGATCGGCACGTGGTGAATTTTGTAAGAAATTCCATATTGTGTATCGCTTCCAGCATTGGGTTTCGCGGCTCAGGTTTCAGGCTTCAGCACTTGGCACTAGGTGATTCAATCAGTCAGTGGTAACACTTTCGGTTTTGCAGTTTGGCTCACGGCACGCAGTGATATGTCTCAGGACATCGATATTTCACACATTCCTGCGAGTATCTAGTGTCCAGTCTGGAGCTTCCAGTCATCAGGCGTCCGGAATTCGAGACAGTGATTTCTCATTGAAAAATGGATGTTGTACCATGGGATTCAATTTTCGGGCATTGGGACTCGGCGATCCATGCATGTCAGACAAGTGCTTTATATATCTATATAGTAAACCAATACCTTGGCCTATACGTCTACACAATATCTCCCTACCTCGGCCCACCCATCTATGTAATATATTACCTCGTCGGCCCACCAGTCTATATCATAAATAATTTCCTGCACTCTCGGCCCACCCGTTGATATAATAAATGTTTTACTGCTCGCTCGGCCAACCCATCTATATAATAAATATTCCACCGCTTTCTCGGCCCACCCGTCTACAAAATTATTCCTGTACGTCGGCCCACCTGGCTATACAATGTACCTTTACATTGGCCCACCCATCTATACAATGTACCTTTACATTGGCCCACCCATCTATACAATGTACCTTTACATCCGCCCACACATCTATATAATAATGATTGCCTCTCATCTCCCTTCAGCCTAGCTGTCTATAATATACATGTCCATCCTACTGTACATATTCCCCGGATGGGCCCACCCATCTCCATTGGTAAAAATATTCATCCCGGCCCATCTGACATCATTGAGCATATATATAACATTGGCATAGATGGGCCCACCTGTCTCCATCGGAAATAATATTCCCCCCGGCCCATCCATCAACATCGGGGATATACATCACATCAGCCCATAGTCCGCTGGCCCGTCTTATACGGGATATTATGTAGGTCAGGTGACCCATATAATATGGAATTTGTCACTGAAGGGGCTCTCACGATACAGAATATTCTTCATGAAGGTGGAGTCTGTGGGAGTTTTGGAGGACTGAGATGGTGAGAGTTGGAGGTTGGGATCCATGGGGATGGAACAAGGCTTCAGGTCCATGAAATTGTACTTAGCTAAGATTGACTCAATGTAGGTTTCATGAGAAAAGGATATAGTACGTGAGACTCGGTCACGCGTCACCTTCATTCTGAGGAGCGATGCTATGGGCCCAAGATCGGTAAGTTTTCTAGATTGGGTTTCTTCTTATACAACACTTCATAGGGCATCATCCCATTCAGCGCCCGGGTGGCAGTTCTATTTTTTAGCCAAGTGACATGCATTATGGCCTCACCCCACAAGAACTTGGGCAATCCGCTTGCATGGAGCAGCGCATGCGTGCGCTCGACGAGTGTGCGATTCTGATGTTCGGCTAGGCCATTGTGCTCTGGGGTGTCATGGACAGTGAGTTTTCTCTCAGTTCCTTTGCTTTGAAGATGACAGGTGAACTGCTCTCCAGTGTATTCTCCCCTCGATCTGATTGCAACTGCTTTACCTTGGCGTCAAACTGTGTGTTCGCCCAGGACTCGAACATTTTGTAGGCATCAAATGTCTCATCTTTCGTTCATAAGAGGTACAGGTGCATGAATCAAGTACAGTCATCAGTAAATGATGCAAAGTACTCTTTATTCCCAGGTGTCTGCACTGGGGAGGGTCCCCAAAGGTCCAAATGTACTTCATCACCAAAGTGCTCTCATCTTGGTGGGTCTCGGACCTTCCCAATAGGCTTGCACTGTTGCTTTTTGCATATTCACAGGACTCGCAACTCTCCAGTGTTGCTTCTGATGGATCAAGTGCGACTCTGGTGATTGTGCCATTGCGGATCATCTGTGTTATAGTGCTGGGGGCAATGTGCCCTAAATGGGCATGTATCTTGTGCATACTAAGTGATTCTTTCGCATTTGCTGCTCCAGCGAATGGCCTATTTGGACTCTTGATGCAGTACAAACCCTTATTGACTGGTATTTGGGCTAACAACTTCTTTTTTGCATCATAGATCTTGCATGAGTCCTCATGGAAGAGTGCCACATATCCAGCATTGACTAATCTGCTGATCAAGACGAGCGTAAGTCCCATCTTCAGTGCGTTGTAACGATAGTCGCGGTGCTGGGCTCAAAACCTGTGTTTTTGATACTCATGTTAAACAGTATTCATCCAACGCATCCCCGACATTCCGATCCCGATCCTGATGCCCGACCCCAACCCGACGTGTTTGCATCGGACTCGTCCTCCCTATGTCCTTTCCAGTCGTATCTACCCCCACTGGTGCATATTCACTTGTTTTCGCATTATTGAACATTACAGACAGCGTTATTACATGTTATCTACAAAAAGGTGCAGTACACATGCTCTTTTACATACATTCAGACCCGATTTTGAGCTACTGTTTTCGCCTAATGCACTCCAAAATCCTACATAAACACAATTTAATATCTAGCACTTCCTACCTATTGCATTACTTACTTTTCCCTACTCAGTAGTAGGATGGAAGTCATTGGATATTAGTAGTACTTCATTGTATTGTGAAATATCTATCCGCTCTTTTTCTCTGAAACATTCCGACACATCCGACACTCATTTGACCGACATTCCGACATACTTCCGACACATTCCTTCACCGTACGACACATTCCTGACAGTCCTACGCATAGTCCGATGCCTGACCTGACTCTGATATTTTCGGACCCGACAGTTTTCCTTTGGACAAGTAGTTCTTAGCTTTGGATTATTTTCCTATCGCTGATAACTAACTATCAAAACTAATACCAAACAGCAACCCCTATAGGATCGAACGCACTTGCTCTGCAAGTATAGCAGACTAGGTCGTGCTAAGATCTACCTAAATATTTGTTGTCTAGGTACAGACCATTCAGTCAAGACCCTATGTAGAACCTGTACCCCGGACGTGCCAAATGGCCGTAGGATGTGTGCAGCCAGTGGCTGGCCGGCTGTACTAAATCCTTGTAGGCACTGCACTGGCCAGTATGTAGGGCCATTCTGGCTGATGTTCATTCTACATACAGTAATAATAAACTAACTGTGACCTGGAGGGTGGCAGGGTGAGTGGCCAGACACGTAGAGCCAGTACTGGCCAGCATTCAGGTGGAGGATAACAGGCCCATAGATTGTGAGCGGCCAAACACGTAGGACCAGTACTGGCCAGTATCTAAGGAATAATGAACATGGACGTGGAATGTGTCCGGCCAGCTCTGTGGGGCCAGTACTAGCCATTATCTATATAATAAGGGATGTGCCTGTAGATAATCACTGGCCAGGCCTGTAGGACTGGGGCTGGCTAGTATATAAATTACAAGGGAAATGCCCGTGGAATGTGACCAGCTGGGCCAGTAGGACCAGTACTGGCCAGTATCTAAATAATAAGGGAAATGCCCGTGGACTGTGGCCGGCCAGACCAGTAGGACCAGTACTGGCCAGTATCTAAGGAATAAGGGACATGCCCATGGGATGTGACCGGCCAGACCAGTAGGACCAGTACTGGCCAGTATCTAAATAATAAGGGACATGCTTGTGGACTGTGGTCGGCCAGACCAGTAGGACCAGTACTGGCCAGTATTTAAGGAATAAGGGAGATGCCCATGGAATGTGACCACCACCATGAAGCTGGATTACACCACCATAGCCATCATGACATGAAGCTTAAGAAAGCAGGATCTTTCCTCAGGCTCGTTCACTGTGCCATCATGGCCCTCAGCCTATGGGAGGGTCATGCTGTTGCTTTCATGCTTCTCAGCAACCACCACCTTCTGAGTAGCAGAAGCGTCTCTTGGAAGCTGCCGGATATCTACCCTCAATGCATCCCTACGGAGGAATTCAAACTCTCTGACCCTACAGATGATAAAATGATGTACTGTGCATCCTCCAAGTTAATTCCCTCAATAAGCCAAGATACTGATCCGACTTTGCCGGTATCTGCATATTCGGATTCAGTTAATTTAAGACATATTTCTGCCATTGTTGGTGCTTCCGATCACCCATCAGAATGTACAGCATATAGAAGCCAGTAGAAGGGCTCACCTTTATCCATTTTTAGATTGTATATGTCAAGATGCTCCCCTCGCTGTTCGGTTGCTCGTTTCTGGTCACTTTCCCACAAGCTGACTTTGTTGACATCCAAAGATCTCATAAGCTCTTCAAATGGGACCTTGGTGTCATTGATGCCCTTATATGCACGTTTGTGCTTTCATAACAGGGTCTTGACTGAAAATATTTAATCAAAGTCTTATTTACTTCAAATTTAGCACTCACCAATCCCTACAAGTTTTTTCCAATTTGAATTACGCATATGGTCATCAAGGATTTCTTGACGGTGGGCTTGGCTCATAGAATGGGCTGTTGGAGATATCTTGTTAAAGGGAGCCCAGAGTGTCTCCAGAATTTCTCCGTCAACTTGGGCAGCGCCTAAGATGAAGTTTAGGCTGTATCTAGCAAAACAAGCTAGCTTATGAGCACTGAGATGAAATTTCCCCACTGCAGCTACAATCTCTGTATTTTCAGGGAGTGTCAAGCCAGGGCAATTGTTAACACGTTCTCCAAAGTGAAGGTTCCACTGACACCCCACATCATAAATTATGAGTGAGGTGTCGACAGAGTTGGCAGCTTGGGTGATACCATTGCATATGGAGTAATCTATATTCATGTGCCTTGACTTTATTTTGTCAGCATGTCAGGCCATCACATAATAAATTAAAGGAGACTTGCTGTTCGCCCTTCTGAAAGTCTACTACAGAGTGGGGAACAAAACATCCATGCCGGGCACAAGCTGTAGCACCCACACCAGTAGCTTGGAGATTGCTTTGGTTTGCATTAGCTGCATTCACTGCTCGATGGTTGCTACATGTGGACCTCTTCTGACACATTTAGGACGCCACTGAAAAAGGACAATAAACCACTTGACTCGCCTCTTTACTTTCGGTTGCTGAGGCCAAGTGAGCCTGATATTCTGACTTCATCACCATATAACCTGAACCATCCGAAAGGAAGATGTCTCGTTCAGGCTCCTGCATGTTCATGTGCTGAGCAGTAAAGTTCCCATCTACCACCAATCTCTTCATAACAAGCCACCTGAAAAAAGTCAGCCAAGTTTAATCTTAATTAGGCTTGAAGAAACTCCAGGCATTTGATCTACATAACGTAGCCCCAAGCCTGGCCAGCTTCATCTACATGACGTAGCCCCGAGCCTGGCCAGCTTTATCTACATGACGTAGCCCCGAGCCTGGCCAGCTTCATCTAGCAGAGTTTCGAATAATAAACAACTTGCCTTTCATACTTCTGTTCCCAAAGCAAAGGCATATTGATTCCTGGCTGCGGACACGAAGGGCAGAAGAGAGCAAGATCTCCTGGGCCTGGACCCAGTTCCACGTCGTGGCCAAATCCAAACCATTTTCAGTTCTTCAAGTCGCGCCACTGACGAGATACTCTCATAAGTTCACGATACTGATCCTGTTAACACACAGGTATTTAGAGAAATCTCCTGGAACAAGTGTACCCCCACTCACAGGGACAGTATCCGGAAATGCATTATTAGTCAGCCTTGTGAGTTTCTCAAAGAAGCTCCTTGCCGAAGTCTTGCATTCCAAGGAATCAATGAGAAAATGATCCAGGACCTCGAAGGTGAAGGCAGTCTTGGGCCTGGTGGAGCTGGCAGGAAATAGTCCTGCTCTAAGGAGCTGTAGGTGCTGTTTCGGAACAGGGCCCTGACAATGACACCATGCCACATTATGAATGAACACCCCGGAAGAGTGCACAATAGTGACAGGGCTGGTATCATGTGGCAAAGCTTCCATGTCGTCATGACAAGAAGCTCCATACCGAGGGGGGCAAGGCTCGCCCCCATGGCCCAAGTACCATATAAAACCCAGGTCGGCAAGAGTGACGTCCTTGAAGCACTTGCCAATCCACAATTGGATTTTGTGAAAAGGTAATGACTGATGTGACTTGATCATGCAAGGGCGACACCAGCCATGGTCCCCAGTGCAAGTCACACAACTGAATGTGGCCTCAGCGTCTTGGCAAGACTCACACATGCCTGTGTGAACAAATTGTTCGGATTCCAGGATGATGTCTAGATATAGACCTCGATATGCAAGATAGTCTGCTATAAAACTGTTTTGTGTCTATATCATGTAGTATGAGAAGAGACTTATCAGCAACCTAAGAACATGAGTCATACCTTGGTTTTTCTTGTATGCTCTGTAGCCTCTTCATCTAGAACAAAATCACCAAGTGTTTCCTGATATGTATCATAAGTCTCAGTATCTGGAAATTCCATTGGAGCCTCTTTCATCCGTTTCTTTGGGCTAGAGGAGGGGGAAGGCGCCCCTGATGTTTCATACAGTGGATCAGCTTGAACTTGGAGCCATGATCGCTTCCCCCTCTTGCCTGTTGTAGGTTTGTAGGACATATAGTCAACATCCAGGTCTTTTTGTTTTGATAAGCTACCTCTGCCTTTGAAAGAATATGAAACGGCCTTGAGACGTGTTTTTTTCTGGCTAGACATTTGAGAATGAGAATTCAGAAGTACTACAGGCAAGCAATGCGACGGAAAAATTATCTCCACAACTCTAGCCATATCTCCTCTTGGTATATTAATTAACTCTACTTACTGCCATCTTGACAGGTCTAGCCATATCTCCTCTCGGTATATTAATTAACTCTACCTTTTTAGACCTCTACCAGCCCCCACTCGGATAAGAAACTCCTGCTCCATCGGAAAGCTCGGTCTTGGAATGCCCTGCTTATCATGCACTTTATCCTTGACAAAGTGGGCAATCACGATCCTCTCTCCATCACCCCAACTTGGGATGCCATGCTCTAGTACCTTGCCTGAGATATATACCATAGTCCCAGGGGGATATCCTAGTTGAGCACCCAGGTCTGGGAGATCTAGCATGGCCTGATGATCTTGACCCAAGCTAACCAGAAGGTCATAGACTGATGGTGATGCTCCCGGATCCCGATGATAGGGAGTCTCTCTATTGACAATTACCTCAATTCCAGAAAACGTAGAGGGCCAAACAACCAGATTTGGGGTTTGAACCATATCCTTTAGTGTAGACACAGATTTCACACCAGCAAGATACTGATCTGGTGAAATAATGCTGGTAATGGCCGACCAGAATTGTTCACTGACAGTCATGGTGGCCAACCAATTTCGAGCTACAGGTGATGAAAGGGAGGTTGATTGGTACAAATGATCTTGAAGACGCTAGCTCAATTAAGTTAGTTTTGTACCCTAGGAGGCAAGATAGACAAACTTACCTCATGACGTTGCATAAATCCGCCTGGGCATAAAGTCACCCGCCCTGCTCTGAACTCCCCCCCCCCCCCCCCTGAAGGTATAACAAATCCCTGCGAACGCCAAGGGTACTTTTCCCCTTTAGTTGCCTTAGGCAAAGACTTGTCTAGGATAGGTCTGAGTGATTTGACAGAGCTATTGATATGTTCCTGAATATATATGATTAGAAGGTCTTTGAGCTTATCTCAGAGAATTGGCATACTGTTCGATCAGCAACCAAGATCTCTGGCAAATGCCAAGCAAGTATCCTTCCGTGCCTGTCAATAAACGTGGTCGGCTCTGAGATGTGGCCAAAGGAAGGAGTCTTGAAATATTTTGCAAGTTTCTCCCTTTGTTGGTGGTCAGAATTCAGCGGGTTGGGGGACACCTTAGCTTGGTCTGCAAAACGGTGGACATCCCAATCAGTCCGTACTGGGTTCAAACATCACAAATCCACCATGATCAAATTCAAATAGAAGCTTACAACTATTAACCGCGGCATAAGCGATGCTGACTGCAGCCCTGGAGAGTTCAATCTCCGAGATCTCAGTTTCCTTGACACCAATACCAGAACTGGTTAGTTGAACATCTTGCCACATGTTCCACAGTCTTGTCCTTAAATTTCAGCAGTTCAGTCTGAGTTGAACCTTAACTTTGAAACTGCTTACTTGGCTTTCTGTAGTAATTTATAATCATTCTTCCTATCTAAGGATAATTGAAATGGTGATGAATTCTGGAGTAGTTCATCCACACGGCTAGAGAGGTTTTTGGACAGTTTTGTGACAGGATCCCCCATGACAGAAATGATGGAAGTTCGGTGAGTGGCACCATTTGAAAATTTCAAGCCGATCTGATCTAGACTATATGGGGATAATACCAAATGTAGATAACTTAAATTCAAATTGTCCAGTTTGAGGTGACAGCCCGCATTATTCAAGAGGTTACCCTGTTATCACTCGGACGTTACTCGGTTCCTTTGAGAACCTTCAAACCCTGAGCACACAAAGTCCGAACACCCTCACGGCATTCATAACCAAAGGACCCGACTCCGTTCGACTTCAGCATAATGAAACGGTATATACTGGAGCTTCACTTGGTAGTTAGATGAGGATGGGGTGTGCGGGCGTATAACTGCCTGGAGCGGTGAGGATGGGGTGTAATTTAGAAGCAAATAGATGTGTGATGAGCCAGGTGCACATACTTGGTAGTTAGATGAGGATGGGGTGTGTGGGCGCATAACTGCCTGGAGCTTTACTTTGGTAGTTAGATGAGGATGGGGTGTGCGGGCACATAACTACCTGGAGCTTTACTTTGAGGGTTAGGTGAGGATGGGGGGTATTTTAGAAGCAAATAGATGTGTGATGAGCTGGGTGAACATACTTGGTAGTTAGATGAGGATGGGGTGTGCGGGCACATAACTGCCTGGAGCTTTACTTTGGGGGTTAGATGAGGATGGGGTGTATTTTAGAAGCAAACAGACGTTAGCCTGAATTGTTGAAAATCTGCTATATTTGTCTGTCTATGTAATGTACAGTGGCAATAGTTTATACTCGGCACGCCTCACCCAGATCTGTCCCCACCCGTGTCCCATTCGCCTACTGACAGTGGAGTGATAGCGAGACTCGACATCAGCAGGAGTACATGTAGATGATATTTTGCACTTACTGACAGCAGGTTCATTGAGTTTAGTATGGGTGAGACATTTGCACGCACAAGTTACTGTAGCACAGGAATTAGTGCATATCTCACCAAAAGAGCGCATATAGCCACTCAGATTGATACCTTAAGTCCTTAGTACCATTGAAATGCATCCACCTAGGCCTCAAAATCACTAGAAGAGTAATACGCGCAGTGACTTACCGACGTACCAGTGAACTGTCATTGGGGTGATGTAGGTATTCAGAGTAATTTGTATGTTTGGTTATTAAACCTCCCTGATTCCACATACGTATTAACAAACTATGTTCCAGGGTAATGTTTCATACGGCAAATACATCCCTCTAAAATCGCCTGCCACATGGTATTTTAGTCTTGCCCTCGCTACATCCACCTTTGGTATGTTGTGTGGTACGACTACATTCGCCAGCATTCGCTGATTCCGCGTGAACCACGGAAGCCCACAAAGCATGTATGATTACCACCAAGGCCTTGGCGTGTACGGGCTTTCGTGTCCTGGAAGACCACAAGTATACTGATTTACATCGAGAACTAGCAGTGGTTGGTCACGTGACTTTTTCACAGGAGCGAGAAACGCGCGATCATTTCATTTTGGCAGCACATTAAGCCAGCGCGTTACAAATTAAAGCATACTGTGTAAAATAAGTAAAGTAAAGTAAAGTAAAGGCGAAAAACGTTAAGTAATGAAAGAGTATACATGCTAATACAAGACCTCAGCAGAGGGGCCCTCTCTGCCTTGGCCTTGTACAGCAGACTACAAGAAAGAAAGAAATTGAATATATATATAAATAAAATAGCGGAAACCGTCTGTGGACTCTGGGTCAGCACCTGCAATATGAATATGAATTAAATTACCTTGTGATTAGCTTTACCACGATACAAAAAACTGTAGACCGCAGTCAGAATGTGTTCACAGAGTAAAGCTGAAAGTACCTTGACAAAGATTCAGGTGTCCTAGACGTCCCTGCCTGTAAACCGAAGTCAGCATGTGTTGATAGAGTAAAGCTGAAAGTACCTTCAACCGGCGTGCACACTACCACCCCCAAGCCCCCAGATTACTCAGTGTAGGAGGGTGAATAGGCGCACCGGTGTGCACACTACCACCCTCAAGCCCTCAGATTACTCAGTGTAGGAGGGTGAATAGGCGCACCGGCGTGCACACTACCACCCTCAAGCCCTCAGATTACTCAGTGTAGGAGGGTGAATAGGCACACCGGCGTGCACACTACCACCCTCAAGCCCTCAGATTACTAAATGAGAGGGTGAATAGGCGCACCGGCGTGCACACTATCACCCCCCAAGCCCTCAGATTACTCAGTGTGGGAGGGTGAATAGGCGCACCGGCGTGCACACTATCACCCCCCAAGCCCCCAGATTACCAAATGTTGGACGGCGCAGAGGTTGTTGGATGGCACAGAGGTTACTAGAACAATGTCAGTAAAGGAGCGCTGGAGAGAGTACTCACCTTGAATGGAATGCAGCCTGGGAAAGAACAAGACCGGCATTCAGTAAGGATTTGAATAAGAGAGAGTACCCACCTGCAAACACTAGACCTCCCTCCAGACCTCCCTCCAGGCGCCAGTGTGTCAAATGAGGAACCTAGAACAATGTCAGTGAAGGAGCGCTGGAGAGAGTACTCACCTTGAATGAAATGGAACCTGGGAAAGAACAAGACCGGCGTTCAGTAAGGATTTGAATAAAAAGGAAACATACTTAAGGTAGAAGGCAATCAACCGCCATTAGCCACTTACACAGCTGCAGTCTGTGTAAGTGGCTATTGGGCCGGCGACGTTGAGGTAGAGAAGTTCAACCGTGCGAAAGTGTTGTGACGCA